TGTAGTCTTGGTGAAATATTTCAATCTTGGTGAAGTTTTAATACAACTAGGGAGTCTAGGTGAATCCGGGAAATAGATCTGTGACATGTGAAGGTTTTGTGTTTTCCGAGAATTTGTGTTCGGGTTTAAAGTGTTTTAAAAAACCAACTTACGCGATTGGGACGGTGAAATTAAGACGGAGAATTAATCTGAATGCTAACCAGGAGGATTGATTAGAATTAAAGCAACAGAGTATTAAATGCCGGAATGAACTGTAACTTTGTAATTTTGTAAAAAAAACCTCTTAAATTGTATATGTAAATTGATTGTACAGTATACATATTTAAAATAAATAAATTAGTTGTGTTGTTTGTTGGAAATTTGGAAAAGGGGACAATTAAGTTAAAGAACCTGAGGTCATTTTGTGACATATATAAACATGGCGCGTTGAACAACCTTCATATAATACATCTCAGCCCCGTGTATTCCTTGACCTTGTTTACCGGGTGTACTCACTGAAGCAAATCCATTCATTTCACATCACATCTGTATGTATTTTAGTTCATAACAGCTAAATAACTTTAAATATGGCAATATACACATCAAGAACGTCATTTGTTTGTCCTAAAAAAATTATTTAATGTAAAATATTATGCAACATTCCTCAAACGATTATCATTTGAAATGTTGACCCAGTAAGCCAAAAATGAAAGTGAAATAGTAAACAAGGTTTAATCTTTTAATTAAAAAATCTAATCTTATTGAGTTTGTCCATCACTAATCGAAATAACAAATTATATCTACCCAATTCACTACATTATTAAATTGAAATAAAACAAAAGGTTTTTCGCTTTTAAATTCTCAATATTTTTGACGAGAATTCTATATTGTTGATCAAAACAAGTTATTAACATGATTCTACGTGTGTTAGAATGTTAAGCGTGGGTATGAACTAACGCTTATACGTTTATTATCTATCATGGCTAATAAATATTTCATTTTTTTGATGAAATCACCCAGTTGGATATTGCTATGTGTTAGGTGTCTGGGCCCTGTTTCTTGAAATCTTAACTAAAGATAAAATCCAAATTTTAGTAGATTCTTCAATTTTGATTGGCTAAGCACTAAAATCAATCTAATATTATCCAATCAAATTAATAAAATTTGGATTTTATCGTAGTTAAAATTTCGTGAAACAGGCCCCAGATCGGATGGCAGTATAAGGGGGGTAACTCCAATTTATGATCGTCCACCGGGCAGACAAGTTAACGATGTCAAGTGGGCTCGGCCTGGAGGCTTGATAAAATCCGATTATACACCAAATTATTTTGAAACTATTGCACAATGGTTAATAATAATCGGTAACGGAACTGAAATTCATGAGATATTTCAAACTCTTGACCTAGAAATGTGTTTGCTAATTCTTTGTGTCAGATATTGCGAGAAATGATTCCTTTAATTGGCGTAAAAAAAAAGAATCACGGTTAAAAATAGAAGGTAAGAATTCCCCCCCAAAAAAGCCTAATTAGAACAAAGGTAGGGAAGAGTGGTATTTTCATATTGCTGCTATATAGGGACGGATAGGAACGGTCAGCGGGCAGGCGTACGATCAGGGATCGTTTCTAATACTAGGAACTATTTGCTAATATGCTTAGAGACTTAGCCTACTTCAATGCGTGTAACTTCTTACTTAAAGAACAATATTGGTGCCAGTCATTATCACATATTTGATAGAACTGGTTAAACACATTCCAAATATTATTTTATCACAGAGATCATTGCTACGATAGAGCCGTAATCAATGCTTCAACAATCGGAAATGACAAACGCAAAAGGAAAACACGAGTAATCCCTCTATATAACTGATTGAAGTGACGGGTGATAACAGGTACATGGGCGAATTTCTGCCCACTAATAATTCCTTTGAAGACCAAAAGTTGTTATATGAGACTGTGAGAGGATATCTGATAATTCAAAAAAGTAATTGAATGTCATTAGATAAGAGAACACAAATAAAGTAGAAACAGTCCGTACATTCACGCGTGTTTATTCATTCTATCCCTATAAAAACATGGTAATGCACGGACTTTTTCTATTTTTCTTTCATGTTCTCTAATCTAGTAACAGTCAATTTTTTTTTATGAATTGTCAGATATCCTTTCACAGTCTCACACAACAACTTTTGGTCTTCGAAGGAATTATTAGTTGGCAGAAATTCGCCCATGTACCTGTTATCACCCGTCACTTCAATCAGTTATATAGAGGGATTACTCGTGTTTTCCTTTTGCATTCGTCACTTCCGATTGTTGAAACATTGATTCCACATCTATCGTAGCAATGATCTCTGTGATAAAATAATATTTGGAACGTGTTTAACCAGTTCTATCACATATATGATAATGACTGGCACCAATATTGTCCTTTAACTTCTTAAGTATACATATTTTCCAGTCTGGTTTCCCCTTACCAAGTCTAGTCGTTCGGATGGAACAAAAAAAAACGAGTTCCCGTGTTAGCCGGCACGTACCGAAAGAATTCAATTGCTGTCAGGTTAAAATTTTCCTCATAGCAACGACACATGCCCGTCTTCACTGGCCCGTTAGCCCTGTTGGTGCAGAGCAGTTGGGCGTTAAACCTCATTCCATTCATTCATTCATTCATTCATCGTTAGTTACTTACATAATATGGGCATATAAGGGTATTAATTTGTTAAGACGTGGTGCTATACTAAACAAGTGTCATGAATCCTGTCGATATTCTATGGTGATTAGAGTAAAAAGCCTACTGATATGAGGAGAAATTTGACATTCAAATTATAGGTGCAGAGGGCATCATCTTTTAAAGAGTTATTGGTGGGGAAACAGGTTCCACTGCGCTCAATTTGAACTGTTCGCCAAACTGTTAAAGAATATAGGCCTAATTGATTTGAAATTACATTAATTGAATATAAATCACTTTATTTATACTTTATATTTTACAATATGGTTATTTACCATGTTCAGTAAATTCATTATATTCAAAAATAATATAGCTTGAAAGTAATACTGCGTAAGAGTGTGAATATTGAGGACAGCTGACATACGCTTTGAAAATAAACTTTAAGGATTTAATGAGCGTGCCACATTCGAGTCAGTCATAAAACCCCAATGTGCCAGAATACAGAATTTAAGAACATACACAGTCAAATAAAAACATGCTATTATATTAGTAATTTCACATCGCCATCGTTACCGGTATGTGTTTTAGTTTGTTTTTTTTTTAAAAATAGAAAGTAATAAAGCCTTGGACTCCTCGGAGTTAAAGCGAGTGTTGTTAGTATTACTGACTTATACTGTGTACGTAACATAGGCCCACTGGCTGCCTGGTAGTGGTCACACCCGGCTGACTGCCGTTGCTTAACAAGATATTTTACATGTTCATACCACGTCTGCCTAGTAGGAGACGGCAAGGCTGTGGACAGTTTTACTAGACCAGCTATAGTTGCCGTTGTGGTCAAGTACAGTCCATGTTTGACCAATTGTTAATTAAGATAGCCTACACGCACTTTCACTGACATGTACGCATTTAAATCAACATTGATGTTGTGATCTTACTGGCAAAAGATGGGCTTCTGATATCCAATATTTAAAACAAAATAAACATTTTACCATTGGTACATGAATGGTGTACCATAATGTGTTTCAGCACCATTTGTAACAAGGGACTCGAAGGATGAGGCTAGACATATTCCACAAGTCATGTCAAACGGTGACCGCATATTCTTATCTGGGGGAGCATGCACAATAAATACTATCAGTGTAGACTGGAATAACCAGACACTATAGATTGCCATTCGATTGAGACTTCTTGCGTATTTCGCTAACATAACTGATTTGAAATTTTATATACATTCATATTACATTATATGTGTTGTGACCCATTTGTGTCAATTTCTAGGTCCCAAATATTAGCGATTTAGCTCCTTCAATTTGTGATGAAAAGTATTTTGATTGGCCACATTTTATCAAGGACCATATCCCGGCTTTTAGAGTTATCTACATTTTAGTGGTGTTAATAAAGTGTGTGCTTAAATAGAGAAAGAGAGAAATGGGGTTTAACATCCACTCGACTCAAACTAGATCATTTTGGGACTAACATATGGTTCAATTTTATTTCCACAATTCGTTTGTACGTAGGGGTCTTTAGCAGTGGGAGGAAATCGAAAGAACCGGAGAAAACCCACGAGATTGGACAGGCGACCCTACTTCTTGTCATGTACAACCGTGGATTCGAAACCACGTCAGTTGACTCAATGACAGACCTTGTGATACAATAAGCACACACTAACCATTCGGCCATCCACCCAAACCCCCCCGCCGTGTGCTTAAATAAAATCTGCCACTAAGTCAAGTGTCCTGCTTACGATTCCAGACTTGGAATATGGTGACTGCCTAACTTCTTAGGTTTAATTTCAATTCTTCCAATGTTAAAGATCCTGCCCAAGCAAATTACATGTATTGGATTAAAAATTTACCATGTTTGTCTCAAAATGAGTTTGTGTCAAATGGTGGCTAAACCCCTTTTCTCTCTCTTTCTTTAGGAAACACATTTTTTACTTTCTTAATAATATATTGCAATTATTGTTGGAATTAAGATATTTTTTTAAACCACCCTGAATAATCCCAGTGAACTTTTTCAGTCAGGATCGAACCCTGGAACTCCTGGCTAGTGTGCCAGTGCCTTGCGCACCAAGCCATCGTGGTTGCCTCTTGTCAGGATGGAGGTCCTAGCAAGGAACCATGTCTAGTAACTTGTTCAGGCAAATTAAAGGTCCTGTGTATGAAAGAACCTTTGACAATTGGAATTAGAAATGAGTGGTATGTAGTGCTGTTGTCCTCAAAATACCCCCCATAGCACACTACATAAATGTCTTCATTAGCCAACAGTGGGTCATTAAACCCTTTTTCATTCCAATTCCTTTTTTTTTTAAAGAACTTAAACAGGTGGTGTCAAAAATAGATGAGGTCAATAATCTAATGAACGTAAGAGATATAATCACTTAAATTAAATTTATTCAAACTATGTAGTGTAATATATAATGAGCACTTTATTGGGTTGTATTAATTACCTACATACATACATTATTAGTCCCTGATCGCAGTTTAATGTAACGTATAGGCACAATATAATCAATAATAATTAATAATACACGGACAAACATTCAATATAAGGTGACTGATGAAAAAAGACTTATAAACTATATGAAATAGAGGTAAAAGTAATATATTAGAAATACAGTTGATATTTACTAAATTGCATCTAGATTATTTAGCATACAAAGTATACTTCATAAAATATAATTTACAGCTGCACATAAATTAATACATTTAGTAATATTCTAATATATATAATCTGAGTTATGATTTTAAGGCATCTTTGTTTTAAAAGGTTTCATCATACATGTATACCATAGCTCATCATACATGTATCCCATGGATTATCATACATGTACACCATAGATAATATCATATCATACATGTATCCCATAGCTTTTCGTACATGTATCCTATGGACTATCATACATGTATACCATAGATTATCATAGATGTATTCAATAGCTTAGCATACATGTATACCAAATACAGATCAACATGATTCCACTTCCTAAAAATAACAAAGCAATTAGCAAAAATATCTCAGGTTGGGTGACATGGGACAGAAAGCATGTAAGCTACATTGCTGTATAATTTTTGATAGTCAAACCCAGAAACATGATATAAATCAATAATAATAAAATCAAATACTTGGCCTTAAAAATACACTATTAAAAAAGTATTATATTTGATAAATTTAAAACCTTTATACATGGTTGTATTTGAATAAACATTCATATGTGACGACAATAGAACACTTTGTTTACTTTTGTAAATACCTATACATAATACAATGAATAGCAGTAGATTTTATATACCAGTAGGTTGAAACTCCAATCCAACTTCTAATATTCTCTAAGAATGAATCTCACCGATTCCCTATTTTCCTAACACTACTAGATGAACCTATTACAGAGCCAACTAAGTACTGTATCTTTTCTCCAAAAAACAAAATAAAATAAATGGTGTTTATCGTCCTACTTTTCTGCACCAACAGGGCTAATGAAGATGGGCAAACTTAGCTATGAAGAAAATTTTGCCTGGACAGCAGCACTACAGCATATTCCTATTTTGATTTCCAACTGTTAAGGGGCTTTTTTTTACGTGCATGCCAATGTGTACACGGAACCTTGGTTTATCATCCCATCCAAACGACTATATATTGACGTTGTTCCTTGCCAGGCCTCGATTTTAAATCTGATTGAATCTGGCATTGGTATTCTGATTTTGTTTTCTTAATTAAATAATAAATAATCATATTAGCGTGGATTAAGCGTTATAAATCTAATATTTTCGAGCATTTTTAGTTTAAGTAAGAGTTCATCCATAGTTAGAATTAGGTCACAGTATGTACCAAGAATAGTTCTGTTTATTACATGGTTACACCACACTAGACAAAATAATCTTATTACAACCTGTGCATTTTTTTGTCATGTATTATAATTCAAACTTAATAAAATATACAACAAATTGAACATGTGTAAAAACATGTGTAAATTTTTACTGACAGTAAAATTTGATGCTCCTTAAAAAAAAATACCTATGGTAAATAGGTAATATTAAGTGAAAGTTCTACTTACAACCAAAATCACAATACAAAATGCAATATAAGAATTTTTTTTTAGCACACTTCAATAAAACAATCAATTCAAATAGTTGGATGAATTTAATTAAAATCAAACAAAAGTTTCAGCCCATATTATCTATATTCAAATGAAAACACAGTCCATTTCTCGATTGGACCAAAGATTACCAGATTACCAAAACATTATACTTAGTGATGCATGTCAAAAAATATGTTTAAATTTAAAAACAGTGCTAGTGAATAATTATCTCAGTGAGTGAAATTTATTACCCCTTCCATCCTTTCAATACTTTCAACCATAGTTATTTAGTGCATACTTAATAAGATAATCATAACTGTGCATTTTAAAGGAGTCATTCCAACACATTTTAGTGAATAAAACCATAAAACTGATTAATTCTGTGTAAATTACTCTTATAAATCATTATTCTATAGCTCCATGCAACTATGGTTGCTGGTAGTTTCTTTGTGCAGTTTTGCAAAAAAGTATACCAATACACATCTAGGAAAAGATCTTGGGAAGCTTGCCATAGTCAAAAAAAGCCAAAATGATATTCAGGTCACAGTGTTAATGAGCGAGAATTTCATATTTTCTAAGAAAGTCAAAACATAATTATTTCTATGTCTTTTGCTCAATAGGTTGTCAACTCACTATTTTACAATCATAGGTATCATTCTCACACTTAAAAATCATTCATCCCGGTAATAATAACACAATTACCTCCCTTGTTTTTCTATTCCCCCCTCCCATGGAATAGCTATCTTCAAAAGTTTGAATTTGAAGTTGAAAATGATATTTTTGCCAATTTCTCAACTGGCAGTAGTGAATTATAGGAATAATAGGATTATTCTTGAACAAGGTAGGACTGTTTATAGATACCATCTATTTTAAGGCTTTATTTTAATACATTTTAAAAATATAACTTAAAAATATGAAATTATCACTTTAAGCAATTTGGTAATATCTGAAAGCTTCAATATTTTTATCTGAAACTCTCAGACAAGGTAAATCGGATTTTCTTTGCTTCAAAGCATCTATATAGATTCTTTGTGAAATCTTGGATTGTGCGATATATTATACAATTATGTGTCTTATAAAACTGTCATCTAATATTAATAAAAAAAAAAGAGATCATCAACTCTTTAAACCGGGATTACTGTCTCTCATTCATCATACAAGTTTACATATACAAATAAAGGTATAGTGTAATTATTAGGCACTAAACTATTTGAAAATAAATAGTATGAAGCCTATCTAATGATATGATTATCAATCACAACATATCTTTAATAACTTTATAATTTCGATAATGAATACCAAATATAGATGGCATAAATGTATATCACAAAATGTTATTATTTTATTATAATTATTCTGAGAATGCTACATGACTACCTCTACTCTTTTATCCACCAAGATTACACAGTCTCATGAAAACAAATATAATATACATGTATATGTAGGCCTAGATATGTTACTTATTGACTAAAATATCTATGAAAAGTGGCATTATTTCAGTCAACTGTGCAATATTTAGGGTATACAATGAAACTGTTTAATTGGTATACTGATTATATTCCCACATAAAATATCAATTGATTCATGATTGATGTAATGCTATAAGCTAGGATATAATTGTGTACCAGTACATTTACAATACCAGACTGCAGTGCACATTCATTTATTTCAAAAAGACAATTTGGCAAATGTGATATAATTAAAAATAAAAATATATAACAGGGTGACAAAAATTAAAATATATTTACCAATAATTCTTGCATGGCTGATCAATAAATTCTGTGTAGGTCTGTACATAAACATGAGTGACAGAGATGACACAAACTAGGTCATTTTCGGACGAACATATGGTTCAGTTTTATTTCAGGGGTCTTTAGCAGAGAGAGGAAACCGAAGGATTAAAAAAAAACCCATGAAGGCTTGTCAAGGGATACTACTACTTGTCAGTTGTCACATTGAAGTGAGGGAATTGAAACCAAGAGATAATGTTAAGAGATTGGGCTATTCAAACGTTGAACATCATTTTAAGTGTTTGTGTTATCCAGTTTATGTACAAACCCACAGGATTGAGGACACATAAAATAAGCACTATATGATTTTAAATAACAACAAAAATAAAATTTTAAAATCAACAATAACAATTTAGATATAATATATATATATATATATATATGGCCAAATTATTCAAAAATAATCTTCCTTTGACTACAATATATATGGTAATACAATAAAGTATTCACCAAACCCCGATTAATTTTAAAGAAATGAATTATAAACATTTTTAAATCACAATAAAAATATGTTTAAAATCATTAAATTATCCAGTAATAAGTTCAAGTCAAAGCTAGAATTAATAATGCTAGGCTCCCACTATCACAATTGGTGCTGCGATTGAAATCGTGTTTTTAATCGTGGAGTAATCATGGTGATCCTATCAGTATTATCATATATTGAAGTCAGTCGTATTGATCGTATTCAAACGTATTTGCATGTACCAGATCAATGGGGACAATTCTATCGTAATGCACCACACAACAGTGGGAACCTTGCCTTAGCAAACAACTTCTACCCCAAATACAAAACACCATTTTATTTGGAATACAATAACTTGTTTATTATACATATGGCGCAATGTTTCAACAAGTGTTCTCATATTCCACAATCGTATTCCATATAAAAGTTTTTGTGATTTAATGTGATTTATATCCAAACAAAATTTATTTATCATAGCACTTTTCCCTCAGGTATACTACAAATACCTGGAACCCAATTCAAGAAAACTTAAACATTTCAAAATGCAGTCTTTACAACAAGTCTGGAAATAAAGCACCTGTCACAGACGTTGCAAGGCACAGAGTCAGACTTTGTCAGGCACCATTCTTTGGATGTCTGTCATTTTGGCCTGCACTGATTTGTATTTTTTATTGATTATAGTACTCAGCAAGTGAACCAGCTGTATTCTTACAATATTTGAGTTTTAGTTTTGTTGAATAGTGCCCCAGCCTTTTAATAAAATTAGCAAATTTTAAGCAAAAGTTGTGTTACACACTATTATCTTTATTTTATAGAAAATCAAAATCAAAGACTTAAAGATGTCCCCTTGATTGCAACATAAATAGCACTGACCTTAAGCAAATAGTAAAATCAATAATTTAATAGTAAGAGAAAGAAAAATTAAATATACTTTCAAGGGCATAAATTATATATACTTTCAAGGGCATAAATTAAATATAGTTTCAAGGGCATAATGAAATAACAAACTGAATATACAGATCCCATATATAGACAACAATGAATTAAATACCAGTACATGTACATGCAATGTTTAACAACATCATCCCTGATATATTTATACATTATATATCATGCTTTTAGCACTTTTTGGTAACCTAGTTGAGAGAACAAATTCTCTCTTTGACCCAAATGAGTTTCCATTTAAAATTTAACAATATTTATTGCAGAATCAAGCCATAAAATGTACAGGTTAAAATTAGAATAAAACATCTTTGTGAAGGGCTATTTACAATGTAATGATTAGATGATCTGACTACATGGTAATATAATTTGAGTGTTCGAAAGTAGGAAATTGCCCTTAAGATCGATCCATTTTATTAAGGATTTGCCTTATCATTTATCTAACACTATTTATCATAAACTGTCAACATTAAAGAAAACAAACTACTCTTAAAGATACATTATGCACAATTTCTTGCTATAATAGTTCAAAACTAGAAAATAAAAGATCAATATATTGAAAATTTTAGTTAAATAAAATTATTATGAACAAAGTTATAAATGACTACGGTACTTTTTGTGGGTTTCAGACAGTGTATGCCATCAAATCTGTATTAAATTTGAATTACTTTTAATTTTCTGACAAGTTCAGCCATATGGCAGGCATTATCTAATCCACTCAATAATTTTAAGCTATCTGATGGTCTAAAGAGTTGATTATGGGCTTTCCATGTCAATAAATGTCTAAAACACTGAAGCCAGAAAAAACCCTGGCAATAGGCTAGTTTAGCTTGTGCATAATGTATCTTTAAGGGTCTCCTACTTATCTGCACTCAAAAAGCTATTCCCCTTTATAATACTAATTACGATTACATTATTTTTTTATTGCATGATATTCCATTGAAGTTTTCTATACATTGTAAAAAAAAAAAAATTAAGTAAAATATTTTACAACCATTACAGTAAATAAATCACCCTGATCTCAACATTATTTTATTTTGTGGTTTCATCACAAACTGAAACTATCAACAAAGGGTAAATATAAGTTCACAAACATAACAAAAAATATTTTTATAATCTAGACATATGGTAGACTTTCAAGGGAAACTGTTGACGGAATTCGCCTGAGAGAAATAAAGAATTCTATTTTCATTTTAGTCTTTACCCAGATCAAGTTCAGCAGTTGGCCAGGCCTTTATATTACAATTATTAGATAAAACAATTGACTTCATCAAACAGTCACAGAGATTTAATAAACTAACTCTCCTGGTGCAACCATAACTCTAAATCAAGAGTATTGGGTCAATACTAAATACATTTAACAAATAATCTTTTGAAATACATATTCTGATCTGTCCAAAAACACTACTGTCATCCAGCTATGGAACAAATGCTAATAAAACAACTACTAAGGAATTTCCAAAGATTCTTCTTGTAATTTTGGTAATTATATATTTCTTGTACAAGTTGAGGTCGTATTATTACGGTTGAAGATAATTCATACTGTCTCATTTCAGTCAACTAATCTGATTTTGATCAGCCGTTACCTAGAAAGAGAAAATTAGAAATTAAATATCTTATTGTTGCATCTTTTTAATGGAACTCTAAAGCTTGGAAATTGACAAAACTATCCGGGTTTAAGTGATCTAAAATCTCTAACTCAATATTTTTCATAATATTTGAAATTAAAAACACGAATTACAATTCAATATTGGTCAATTTCAATCAATATTGATGCTGTTATCTTCCCATGAAAATACAGAATTCTAATAACCAATATTTAAGACACAATTAACAGTTTATAATCAGTACACAAGTCATGTATTCTATGGTTTAGGGTGTCATTTTGTAATGAACAATAAAAAAATATTCTACAAGACAATGTAGAAGTAATTAGTAAAGGCTGATTCACAAACAACAAAATAATAATAAAAAACCCCCAAGAAACGTGTAGAATGGACTAAATAGGCGTAAACAACTGCCGTACAGTTTGAATTGTTCATGTATTCCATCGAACATAATTGATAAGAAATTACAATATTTTTTTTCAAAAATTGAATATAAATCACTTTACATACATTCATATTACATTAATATGTGCTTTTAGAACCATTTTCATCTATTTTAAGGTTCCAAAAAATAGAGCCATATGTCCTTTAAATGAGTAATCCCAGATATAATTTCAATATATAAAACTGACTGATAAAAGCTGAAGTTTAGCAGCAGACGACCTTGCCTAACTGTCACTTTGTGCCTGTATAGATATTTCTATAGAGACAAATTGAGTTTAACATTTTATGACAAACGCATAATACAATCTTATTTCATGGAGTCTTCGGAAACCCTTGAGGTTAGCTGGGAGACCTACTCCTTGTCACGCAAAAGCTTGGCATCAAAACTGTGCCACTTGACTCAATGGCATGAGGTTAGACAGGAGACCTACTCTTTGTCACGCACAAACCATGCCCCTTGACTCACTGACATATCTTATGATCTAAAACATGCACGTTAATCCATTCAAATACAGATCCCTCCATACATGTGCACAGTGTCAACTTTAGGGTTCTTAATCCATTTTGAAACGAACTGGCCAGAATTGGATCAAATGGGGTCCCGGTAGGAAATGGGTCAATTATAAGCTTCCAGACTTCAACAAAAATAATTCTTGGTAATTTGTTATGGAGAATGTTGTATTCTAATGTATGCGATTACCAAAACAATAAAAAAAAATAGGTACACCTTTTGAAAAGTTTCCATATTTAATTCACGTACCATCTTGAAGTTCACATCAGTAATATTCCTTAATAAATTACTGTCTTCAATTATTGGAAGAAACATTTGTGTTTCATCCATCGATAATCTAAAATATTAGCAATTTTCTACTACTGCCAGTATTAGAAAATGTCGTAGCCAAAATAAGCTGACACGGCACCATGGCATTTCTTCATAATACAATTTGTAGTTTTTTGTCATTCAGGTAACTAGTCAAGTAACTTGCAAAAGTTTTTATTCATTCGACACAATTGTCACGTGACAACCATAACTGAATTTGCTTTAAAATTTGGAATTGGAGATTCTAACGGGAAAATATATTATTAATGACTGTTTCTCAGTGTATTCGGTGTTCTATGTGGGGATTATATTCAATGAAGATTTAAATTTACCTAACAACTGGTCATCGAATCCATCAATGTATGATCCAGTTATTATTGTAATATCTACCGGTACCTGGAATTCATATGGAGCGTGGAAGACGCTTGATTGGCAAACCATGCCGAGATTGTCTTCTTTCACAACGTGAGTTATTTTTACAAAAGCAGCTTACTGAACCTGTTAGGAATAATCAGCAAGTTTGTTTGGGGTTTTTTACCAGATTATCAAAATTACTGTTAAATGTGCTAATCAGGCTACTCGGATTATGAACCACATGGCTGATTCTCACTGTTGTTGTACTCAATGTACTTTAGTCGACAAGCATGTTGATTGACTTCTTAATTAAGACGTAATAATTAACCCGTTGTAATTTAGCTGAAAGTAGATTGATTTATGATACCATAGTGACCGGTTCATTGTTTTACCAATTGGTATATTAAACATCAATTGGCTAAAGCCAACAAAAAACAGCCAATTAAAAACACTGATCAACTTCCCACTGTACTTTTGCCTTTTTTCCAGCGAGTAACAGAATCTTGCAAATGGCATCAGGTAACTTGGAACAACAATTCTCCAAACTGCTTAGTGAATTGAAGCTAAGGAAAGTCAAATTTGTTCAAATGAGACCACCTTCAATCTTCATGTAAAATTCTATGAAAATAATCAGAAATAAGTTATGGTTTTCTGTTTAAAATTTGGTGCCAAATATCTGCCAAGATTTGATGAAAATCAAAAATCAGAAATATAGATGTTGTGTGTTTCATCTATCTAGCTATTGAAAAGTTTGTCAATTGTTGAAATTGTACGTTTGATAACATTATGGCAATGTTTAAAATAGATAGGTTGCCAGGCAATGAAACATATACCCACAGCAGCTAAATTGTCTGAGCAGTCAACAAGGGTTCTCGCATATTTATTCTTTTGTAGGTAATTTGGGGGAATTTACAAGACAATTTCATACAGATCAGATAATAATTTTCGTCATTTGAAGGTTCACAAGGTTCTACAAACTGAAACAAGAGCTTAACTCTGGAAATAATTAACAGAAAATGTTGAAATTTGACAGACTTTTTTCGCTCTTCTAATTTAAATAATGCACATAAATTTCATACAGATCGGATGATAACTTTCGTCATTTGAACAGTCACGGGGTTCACAAAGCAAAACAAGGGTCATAACACTAGAAGTAATTGACGGAAATTGCTGAAATTCAATAAATAATGCATATAAATTTCAAACATCAATCGAGCATTAACAAGGTCGAACAACATGAAACAAGGACCATATCTCTAGAAGTAATCATTGTAAATTGCTGAAATTCAATAGGCTTCGTCATTTCACTAATTTAAATGATGCATATAAATGTCATACATCGGATGATAATTTTTGCCGTTAGAGCAATCAAAAGGTTCAACAAAGTGAAACAAGGGCCATAACTCTAGATGTAATATACGGAAATTGCTGAAATTCAATAGGCATCTTCGTTGCACAAATTTAAATAATGCATATAAATTTCACAAAGATCAGGTGATAACTTTTCGCGTTAAAGCGTTCACAAGGTTCAAAGTGAAACAAGGGCCATAACTCTAGACATAATAGACAGAAATTGTGGAAATTCAAGAGGATTCTTATTTTTACTAATTTAAAGGATTCAAATAAATTTCATAGAGATCGGCATATAAATTTTGATGTTAAGAGTGTTCACAAGGTGGAACAAAGTGAAACAAGGGCCACAACTGTAGAAGTAATTAACAGAAATTGCTGAATTTCAATAGGATTCTTGTTTCACTAATTCAAATAATGCAGGGGCAATGGCAATATACGTCCACATTTCCATTTGGCCGTATAGAAAACAAATTTAGTGATTTTGAACATTTCGCAATGTCACAGAACTTTCAAAATATATTTCATCTCTAAGTTACACACTCTTTCCCGATAAAATCAAAGAGTTTAGAATGATCCAGCAAGTTGTTCTGGACTAATACACAGGCTGAGAAAAAAAGAATAATCATAAAAATAAGAAAAAAAAAATAATACGAATGTTTTATTACAAACCTGCAGTGGGATTAGGATGTTTGGTTACCATGAAACTGGCTGCCATGTCTTTTTGTACTTGATTTATATACGACAGTTGTGGGAAAAGGTTGAAGATGTCTAATAGAGTTTCACATGTGGTATTTGGATGACTAAAACCTATCAACTGTACCAATATATCCACATAATGATAATGTAAAATTTGAACACTTTGACTATTTTCTAACACCAAGTTCTCTGAAATAAAATACAGTGACATGTAAAGTTAATATAAAGTTGGAGTACAATCAGAATGTTGTGTTTTTTTTTAAAGTCTTGTTCATTTGTGGGTAAGAGACCCACTTTGCCGACTTTTGTTGGCTCAATTGATGGTTTAAAACATATCAGTATTCTAACAAAGAATTTGCTGTGTAAGCTTTTCACAATATAAGAAGGTGTGCGTCATGGTGGCTCAGTAACTAAGAATCAGTCTCAGATTGGCTCCGTGTGCAGGCTAGCTAGCCTGACAAGCAACCGTGTCCAATCATGGTACAGAAAACCGAGGTCTCATTGGTGTGCATGTAAAAGAACCCATAACAAGTGAATTTCGAAATAAGAGTAGGCCCTAGTACCGCCATCCACAGTATGGTGTATGCCCATCTGCATGAACCCAGTCAGTGCTGAAAAGTAGGATGTTAAAAAAAAAACTTTTCATTTTACAATATAAGGGGAATAAACTGAATAAAGTTTGTGAAAAAGCTAACTTTAACTAAGTCATGGACAGTTAACTCAACAAATAATTTTCAAAATTAAAAATAGTCACATAATATGTAAATTTCATTAAAATCAGACAGATACTGAAGATTCTATTCACAAGTATTCTTTGTCATTTTTTGCCACGTATACTTCAAACTTTGGATCAGGTTCCCAAGATTTAAAAAAGACATTTAGGTTTATTCAAGGACAAATTGCATCGCCTGATGCGATAAAATTGGATGAAAAGCAAGTGTGGAAGACTGGATGGGCATACAGATCCGGGTGTTAGCTCATCAGGTTTTTCCCGGCGTGGTTCCCCCTTGTCAGTGTGGTGGGCCTGGCAAGGGACAATGTCAAGTCGTTCGGATAGTATGAAAAACTGAGGTCCTGCGTACACATTGACATGCACGTAAAATAACCTTTGACACTTCGAATTTGAAATAAGAGTGTAGGCCGCATAGCACACCTATAAGGCATATGCCCATCTTCAATACAAAAAAGTAGGTCTTTAAAACCCCATTTCACTTCTTTTTATATAAAAATATTTCAAATAGTCTTACCATCATCATATGACATCAGTTTAATTGCTGATAATATGCCAACTTCTAACTCTGTAAGCTTCAGATGGTTAAATTTATCAGCAAATGAAAAAAAGTGCTTTACACGCTCTTTACCAAGAAAGTTCTCCATCCAAAATCTGGTATAGTGTCTTCCATTAGGAAACTTTAAATAAATTTCTCCATCGATAAAAAATTCACTAATTGTTAACTGAAAAAATAAATATATTTTGATATTGTTTTTAATTAAAAATTTATCCTTCAAAATGCCAAATTATTCTCAAATATTATATTTCAGTCAAAACTATATAGACTATTTATTTCAATCCAAGTATAAAATAATTTGTACTGTCTTATGAATATTAACACATCTAGATACAACCAGGACAAGCAAACGTAGGAGAGGATACTATAGTAGGGGTATCCTATGTTGCCTAGATTATTCTGTCATGTCTTGGGGGAGGGGTGGTTCAATAGGTTAACAGATGACATCTTAAGATGTATTATTCAAGTAGTAGGGTTGCATGTCTTCCGTTTTCCTCTCACAGTTAATAGACACTTTTACTGATATTAAACTGAACTATATGTTACTCCCAAAATGACCTACTAGATAGTTTGTGTCTAGTGAATGTTAAATCCCAATTCTTTCTCTCTGTTGTGTCTTGTCTCAAGTTCAGATATGATTCCTACAGACTTGGCTCAATTGCTATAGATGTATGGTTTATATGTCTGAAGTCAACGGCTAAATTCCGGTTTGGAGAGAGAGAGAGAAATGGGGTTTAACGTCCACTCGACACAAACTAGGTCATTTCGGGACTAACATATGGTTTAATTTTATTTACATAATTTGCTTGCGCGTAGGGGTCTTTAGCAGTGGGAGGAAACCGGAGGACCCGGAGAAAACACACGAGGTTGGACAGGCGACCCTACTCCTTGCCACGCACAACCGGGGATTCGAAACCACGCCATTCGACTCAACGACAGACTTTATGATACAGCGCGCGCACGCTAACCATTCAGCCATCCAACCCCCCTAAATTCCGGTTTGGAGTATCCTTTGACACAGAATGTGAATGTTCTGTATTTTAGTTAGATTGTGACTTGGGGAGTGGCAGTGCCTCAGTGAGTAAGATATCGGCTCGATAACCTGGAGGCCCCTCGATTCTGGTGTTTTGGTCGAAAAAGTTCATCAAAATTTTCCGATGTTTTTCCTCCTTGTCAGTGGAGCAGGAAAGAGGGCCTGGTAACGGACAGTGTTTAGTCTTTCTGATTGGACAAAAAAAACGAGGTCCCGTGTAAACCTTCACATGCTTGTAAAAGAGAGAGAGAGAGAAATGGGGTTTAACATCCACTCGACACAAACTAGGTCATTTCGGGACTAACATATGGTTTAATTTTATTTACATAATTCGCTTGCGCGTAGGGGTCTTTAGCAGTGGGAGGAAACCGGAGGACCCGGAGAAAACCCACGAGGTTGGACAGGCGACCCTACTCCTTGCCACGTACAACCGGGGATTCGAAACCACGCCAGTCGACTCAATGACAGACTGTATGATACAGCGCGCACACGCTAACCATTCAGCCATCCAACCCCCCTGCTTGTAAAAGAAGTCTTGACAGTTGGCATTCGCAGTAAGAGTACGCTGTAGTGCTGCTGTCTGAGCAAAATTCCCCTCACAGCACACTGGTGTATATCGGTCTTCATTAGTCCAGTACACGTAAGAGCAGAACAGTAGGACATTAAACCACATATTTCATATTGTAACTTACCATCCATATACTATAATAGGCATGTTTTAACATAGGTTGTTGATCCTCAGCACAAACACTTGTAAAACCAGGCACTGAATTACAAAACCCTATAATAAAACATTAGATAATGTAATATTCAAATAGAGCTAGCCGTTCTTGCTATACTAGTTATAAGTGTCTGAAGTTTCCTATGATATAATGTAAGTAGTCTTAATTGGCAAACAAATGTGGTGGCACACAACTTCAATTACATGTAGAAATAAAACACTCACCAATTATTCGTTTATTAACTAGTGATAATCCATGCATAAGCAATTGCCACACCTCTTTTAATGATTCCTCTGTCTTCACTTCTACTGGTAATGTTTTCTGTGAAAATAAAATATAATTATTACTCAAAAATCCTGAAATATTACAGAAGGAGACACAGAGAGAGAAATGGGGTTTAACATCTAGATCATTTCGGGACTCAAATACATGTATGACTCAATTTCATTTCAATAATTCACTTGACTTAAGGGGTCTTTTTAGCTGTGGGAGGAAACCGAAGGACCCAGAGTAAACCCACTAGGTTGGACAGGCAACATTACTCCTCTTCATATACAAGCGGGGAATCCAAACCATGTCATATTACACATTGGCAGACCTTATGATCTAAAGTGCACACATTAAACCATGCGATAATGGGTGATAACTCTGAAGTATTTCTATACGACTTTATCTCATGAACAAAAATGCTACATGTATATAAAGGCAATCAAAAGATAACTTTACCATCTTGAGCATCCACAAGTTTTTTCAATGTGGTCAGGGGTAATAACTCTGGCAATAATAATTGGAAATTGTTGAAAAACAATCGAGTTCCTTGTCTGATGAAAATAACAACTTAAAACCAATTTTACTTTGGCTTCTAAATAACCACAAAATGTTTAAAAGTAATCAATAACTCTGGCAGCATTTATTGGAAAATGTTGAAAAACAAAAGGCTTCGATCTCTAATAAACTTATAAAAACGATTAGACACACTGTCATCTGGCAACCAGAATACTTTTTTATACTTGGCCTCACAGCTTAGACAAATCTCTAAGTTTTAACCCTGGGTACTATTTAGTTTACGGAGGGCAATGTTTTTGTTTATGCTACATCCCTTGTTATTTACTTTCTGAACGACACAAAACACTCAATGTTTACTTGAGATTATATAAATGATTTTACTCAATTTTGCCAGAAAAAATTAGACAAAAAAGTGCCCTTGAAAAAATGTAAAAGCAATGTACAGTATGATGTAAATTGGGGACCCAAATCCTTCGACTATTCTATAGTGCAAAATTTACCTAGTTGATTTAATATAAATTTTAAAGGAGCTAAACCTTTTTTTCAATTCGATACAAACAAGCCAACACTGAGACTGATATCGATCCTCCATCTAAATCACAAAATAAATAATTGACGCTCTTCTGTCACCACGGTTATGGGTATGACTCTTTACGCAGTCACTCAAAGCATCGCCTCTATCAAAGCATTTACAAATATATTTAGAAACCAGAAAGAATTGGTGACAGAGAACATGTATCAGAAAGAGGGATAATCTACCGGTGTACATAATTAGGGTGACCCACCATAAATAAATATCTCCAAATATCTCGACAATTACGCCACAATATTTATATATATGCCAAGCCTCAAATCAGTTTCACACAATTATAGTCACTAAATAAACGATCATGTTGTACTTAATAAGCTATGACCATTAATCATCTATAAATAATAGACTGAAAACTGGTTCCAAGTTGCGTCCATAACATCCAGACACTTTTGAGTAAAAGATAGGTTACGTGCCCTTGTTTTGAAATTAGTCTCGCTTAACCAGTCTATCGACCATTCTACGTCTGATTGACAGGTCGGGATAATCAAGACTACTTTTTTACGAAACATAACAGAAAGCTAGAACAAGAAATTGAATTTAGAAATAAGCACTTTAGACAACTCAACAATTGTTTTAAGAAACTTGTAAAAGTAAAATGAAACTACTGCTAGTATCATGTTCCTGCTAAAGAAAGTGATTCAGAGATAGTATTTGTACTAAACCAAAAGATGCCACTCTTAACGGTACAGTTAATGATAAAGCAATTTAAAAAATAAAACAAACGTAATTACTAAAGCTGCTGTAATAACCAAGAAGCTAAATTTTACTGCTATTCAAAATCGTCAACAATAGATTTTTTACGGCTGTAATAGTTGATATATTTGTAGAGAATTGCACGTGCCATGGCTATTTATCAAATCAAAGCGAGTGCGGGGTAGTCAGAAATCAGTTCGAGACACGCAACTGAAGCGTGCACATTTAGCCGTGTCGAGACCAACTTTCTGTAAAGTGCACGGGTCATCCTAACATAATCTAATCAGTGATTGAAAATCGCTGACAATTAATATACTTGGTGTGTACAGGCCTTTAGAGTAAAAAGTAGCTGAAGATTTTCTTTTTTGTGAGAGAGAGTTTGGGAAACTCCTATTGGGAAACTCCTGCCAAAATCAGCCGATCTGACCGATTTGCGTAACGGATTAGCCTTTGTTTATTTAGTAATAAGTACAAGTTAATCTAAAAAAAACAGGACCCATAAATATTGATTAAATCCTACAAAGATCCAGCAACTGGACCGAAACTTCAGTCTGTTTGGATCATTCACCATAGTTTCAGTTATCTTGATGGCTTTGCATAAATGTCATCTTCTCTCCAAAATATGCTCCAAATGGCCTCAGCAGCATTGGAGGCAAACTTGCATACATTGCACAAAATTGTGAATTACTCGAACATGGCAGGTATCTAGAGGAAAATCGAATCTGTTTTCAAGCAATGACTTTTGTGGTAAGCAATTACCTAAGTTAATTAACCACATTGTTAAATTATGAATATTAAGAAAGAATAAACATATATTGTATATTATGATTTACCTTTTCTTTGAAAAAGTGTTGATTAGAAATTCTAGTTTCACGTAATACCACATGATATGTATCCATTGCTTTTTCTATTTGAGTAACAGTTTTAGTCATCCAATCAGCCATTTCTAATCTTTTATTGTTACTGCGTTTTATCATCGCATAAATGTCTTCCATTGTATATCGTTTATGACCGGTTAATTTAATATAATATTCCATATCTAAAACAGGTTCAGCTTGCGGCTTTTCATGATCGTCAAACAGAGTGTCTGACACACTTGAATGGGAATCCATTCTACTGTTTGTGCTGCTATGTGAATTATGGTCTGTTTCAGAATATTGTATACCTTGTAAACTGGGAATTGTGGGCATTGGGTTATCATTTGTCCTTGAGGGTTCTTGTTGATGATGATGGTGCCCCGTATTTGTTGTACTATAATTTGGCATGGTGTGTAAGTTACTAGGCTGGGGATCGGACAAAACACTTAAATCTAATTCCTCTTTCTGTTCTGGTGGATAAAATAATGATGCACTGTCATTTGCGGTTTGGTTATTACCATTATACACTTTAAGCTGGTGTAGATCGGGGGTCGGTTGAGAAATATATGCTCGGTTATCATCACAGTCCATAGAACTTATCAGTTGACCATTTAAAGCAGTAACGCTATCTTCTCTCTCGTAATTTCTACATTGTGGCCAACTTTTCATCTCCAAAATCGAGTCATCATTTTCGTCTTCTGATATACTCTGTATTCCTACATCCTGGAGAACTTTTAAATTGGAATTGTACTGACCGATGGTACAATTTTCTGCCAAATGTTGAAGTATGCGATCTTTGATATGCTTACCACCCCTACGCTCCACTGCCTGGTCAAAAAGGACTTTCATAACATCGGGACTATAATGAGAGCGACTGCTTGTAGAGCAGCTACTCTCGTCACTACTTGGTGTAAACGTATTGCGTGGAATGTGAGAGAAACCCGAATTTTCGTAAAGCGAAGAGGAGGAGGAGGAGCCAGCGGGGTACTTGGAATCATGTTTGACTTGTTGGTCTTCCAACACTTGCGGTACGGGAGGGAAGCTGTCCCACGTGCTTAAAGAGGTGATCTGTATATCATTATAAGTGTCCAGATGATTGTGTGTATATGAGGAATTACTAAATACATTGTGTTTATCACAAGAAGGATAGGTCATCTCTGATTCCTCTTTTATATTTATAGTCTGTGTACCATCAGCTAAGTGTGAATGGTTATTTTGAAAATTTGTTTCTCGATCTTGAAAATGCTCGGGTGATGACACATCCATATGTTCCTCAGGTATATGCCGAGCTGCTTCAAGCGCCTTCTCTTTTTCAATTTTTGGAATGCGTCCCATTTTAACAGCTGAAAAATAAATTCAATTTCATATTAATTTATGGAATCATTTCTGTTTGGTTTTTATTCTTACACCCACAACAGTCAAGTCCTACGAGCAGTCCACAAAGGTCGTTCCATATCTTTTCTTTAGTGGTTTAAGAGATTAAGTTGTCAACTGTTTATGTCTGACAAAGTAAAGGTAAAGAATAAATTACAATTATAAACCACAGTACACAATCAATAACTTTTGGTCTTAAAAATGTCTTAAAGAGATAAACCCACTGTAACCCAGATATCATTTAATCTTGTGTAGCTAGCACTAATTTCTTTCATATTCGTTTGATATTAAATCTTTCTTTATAAATTCTTAAAAATCATTTAAAATCACCCCAAATTATCTAATTTGTACTCGTGTCCAGTTAAGCTAATTGATTAATTTTGATAATGAGTGTCCAATTTACAAGTGTTCAAAAACTGCTCATTATACATCAATAATCAATTGGGTTGTTTATTTTTTTAACAGTGATCGAGAAATTAAACACTTGTAAATTGGACAGTCATTATCAAAATTAAATGGTCCGCATTAAACTGGACACAAGTACAAAGTAAGATGATTTTTGGTGATTTTAAACGATTTTTGCGAATTTATAAACAATAATTTGATATTAAACGAATGTGAAAGAAATTAGATCTAAATACACAACATTAAGTGATACCCAGAGTACAGTGACCCTGGCCAAATGAAACTTAAGATTAATAAGCCTCTACCCTTTTACTGGTAATTTCTAAATATTGCAGTAAGAACACATCCCTCAACTGCACTACTTTCTGTTGTCTGCTGCCGCTCTGCTATATATTAATATGATATAGTATATCAATCACCCAGGGCTATCGGAAACCTCACTCCAGCCGTTACTCTAGCCCAGATTAACCAGTGGGACTATTTCTACTAAGACAACATTATTCATACTGACTGACTTTGCAAAGGTAGGATCTACTAGTCTTCATTATCAATCGCTTGGTCACAAAAATATTTACAGATATGTTCCCTCAAGCTAAATTAGGTCATCTATTCCAACCACAAAATATTTGTTGTGTCTCAGAAAAACATAATTGTAGGTTTAAAGTGATAAGACTAATAAAATATGAAAGAATTCCTCTCCTGTCAAAAGACAGATTTGACAAAAATATGGTTTATGTGCAGGAACCATAGGTCAAGAGTTGCCTGCCTTGTTGCCTGCCTTTACATATTTATGTAAATGCCATGATATTTGTACTTTTTGATTTTAAGATACACCCTTTAATCGAAGATCATGTAATTAGAACCTAGAATCTCAAAGAAACATACCAATATCATTAAAAAATCAATAACTTTTTAATTACCTTCAATGATTATTTGATTGTTTTAGACTGCTTCAAAAATAAATATGTTTTAACCTACCATCTATGGCCATTCCTCTGTCTAAACATTTCTTAAAGCGACACGCCTTACATCGGTTTCTATTCTGTGGGCTAATGATACACTGCCCTCCAAAGAAGCATTTATATTTCTCCCCTTTTGGAATACTTCTACGAAAGAAACCCTGAAACAGACAAAGCAAGAAACAACATGAACATCAACTATTTTAACTTAATAAAACAAGCTAAGGGCTTTAATATTACTTTAAAAGAGTCTCTTTCATACAAACATTGTTTTTTTAAGGATCATCTGTCTGTATCCATTTCCCGATTTACAATGTATCTATAGGCTTGGCTTGAAACATACTTCCATCTTCCTCTAGTCGTGAGTGTGGGAGATTGGGAGTGGTTTCATAAGTGGAACAGCCTATACATGTATATGCTTCTCTTATCTAAATCTGGCACGGTACGAAAGGCTATGCACAGTAGGTTAATATTTTTAACTCGCTAGAATATCTGAGTTGTGGTCAATTATCTCATGAAATTATTACTGAAAATACTTATATCAGTGCTACCATATTTTGTTTGGTTGCAGGTATGTAGAGCACAATTTTTTTTCCAGCTCTTGGCTTTTTACAATGTTAATCAACAACTATGCCCAGGCAAGCAAAGTTTCCTAAGGAATCAAATATTTTACATTCTATAGTCAATAGATATATAGCGAATACAATTCTGACTCCTGCTAAGAAGCTTGGAACCCACATAACCCCAATTAGGATCACCTTTATGATTGGGGGGGGGGGGGGAATAAGATTTTTCGGGTCGACAGTTAACGTGAAAGAAATTTTAATATAATATTTTTGAGGAATATAAAGTACCCGAAATCTGATGAATTTTTGGTCTGGAGCCACTCTGCATTGTGCAACAGTTTTCGTGAATCAATCAATATTTGCTTCATCAAATATTCGGGAATCTAAACTTTAATATTGTACACCTACAATATTTACCTAATTTACATTTATATTTAAGTATAACACGTCAAATAACAATTCCAAATGGCAAGTCTCAGAAAATATTTATCATATTACCTTACATCCTTCACAAGTAGCAACTCCATAATGGACTCCTGTTGCCTTATCATTACAAATACGACAATCCCCAAAGGGAAAGGGAATAGCCCCAACTGGCATAATTACTTTCTAATTAATCTCCTGGGCTTGTAATTTGTTTAAGACATCATTTCTCATTCCCTGAAAGATATAAACACATATATTAGAACCAACAAATTAATGAGTTTTGAGTAGTGTTATAATTTTGCCCAGTATTACAATTTTTCAGAATCAATAAGCTCAAAGAAACTGAAAATAAACCCCAGACTATTTAGAATATTAAAATCAGAAAAAAATTAGATTGTAAGATGTACGCTGTCATTACCAGGTATTTCAATTTTCAATACCTGGTATGGGGTCCAAGATAGGTACGGCAGCCAAGTTGTCCGAGCAGTCCACAAGTTGTTGCATTGTGAATCTTTAGGTAAATAAATTCCAAGTGTTTGTCATCTTTCATTAATTTGAATAATGCATATCAATTAGAAATTGATTGGATGATAACTTCACAAGACTCGATGAAGTGAAACATAGGTCATAACTATGGAAGATTGTCGTTAGAACACCCACAAAATACCTTAAAGTGAAACAAGAGCCGGAAGCAAGTAATGGAAATTGATGAACCAGTGAACGGACATACAGATGGATGGATGCAGGGAGGGAAGGTCAATATACGACCACATTCCCATATGGGTATATAGAAATGTTGATGTTTAAAACTATTTAAATATTTACTCAAATGAAACAGATTTTGTGACAAAACGATATTTTGTGTGTGTTTTGAACTTGTGTTTCTTTCTAAGAGTTGTTCTGGTACTTTTTTTGTATGTTTCACAAATCTAAGACTTGTTTAAAATACTGTTAGGAATTCGGATGTCCTACCACATTCCTTAGATACATCAGACATTTTTTCTTATTAGAAAGTCAATAACACTACTGTTTGTGTCTTAAGTCTTCGTTTTTTGGGGGCATCAAAATTTAAGAAAAGAATTTAAACTATGTTTTGTATATTTATTATAATTGATGAGTCCCAGATGTTTATTGTAATTGATGAGTCCCATATGTTTATTATGAAATTATTGAGTGTAAAATCCAAAACCTATTTCTAATATTGTAAAAGTTTAAATTGTTTCAAGATTGTACATGTATATCTGCTTAAGAATAACAAAATATACCTTCAATTATCTACATGAACATGTACTACAAATTTCCAACTGTTACCAAGCAACAAGCCAATCCATTCAACATTCATGGACTAGAACTGTACTCTAGGCACTAATTATGGGAAATCGTTGAAAATCAACAGTCATAGACTAAAACTGTACTCTGGCACTAATAATGGGAAATCGTTGAAAATCAACAGGATTCTTCATCTTATGACCTTAAACACTGTGTATAAATTTAATGTCAAACGGATATTAACTTCAGCGTCTAGAGCACCCACAAGATATTTCAAAGTGATCAAGGGCCATAACTCTGGCATTTGTTGTCTTTTTGTCTCCTGACCTGAAACACTGTGTAGGGCCTATAAAATTAAAGTTAATCCGATATTGAATTTAGACTCCAGAGCATTCACAATCTGATAAAAACAGAATTTGGTCCACTTGACATGGAATGACCTGTATAGTGTATATATAGCCCTCGTCTTCGTTAGCCCAGTTGGAACAAAACAGTAGGATGTTAAACCCCATTTCAATTCAATTCAAAAGTATATATAGCCATCTAATAATTTGACTATACTTACAACATAAATAATTTACTTCTTCCATATTTTTTTTTTTTCAAGTATACATTTATGTATATATTTTTATGGAGAGGGGATCTATAGGCTACCCTTTCTCCAATCCAGTTTCTGTACACGTATATAAATATTGTCTAAAAATAGATGGAACCCAAATACTGTGTAATCAATGTTGCAACATACATGTACTACTATCTATATGTTAGCTATCTATATGATCAGCTTTCAAGGCCATCGATTTTATATTATCATTCTTACAAAAAAAATCTAGGACAATATTCTTATCTCATTGCTATATTTCAAACACTGGTTGACCAAATTTGTAATTATATGTTTATATTCCTGGCAAGGCTAAAAGGTCTGGGAGCCACTGTGGCTAAATCGGTGAGACTTGACTCACTATTCTAGAGGTTGTGGGTTCGCTCCCGTGTTGGCTGAGAAAGTTCATCACCATTTTCCGGCATGGTTTTCCCTTGTCAGTGGTGCAGGACGGAGGGCCTGACAATGATAGCTGCCCAGTCATTCGGATGGGACGGAAAAAAAAAGGTCCAGTTTATTCATTGAGGTGCATGTAAAAAATCGATTGACATTTGGAATTCGATATAAGAATAGGCCATAATGTTGCTGCCCAGGCAAAATTTCCCTCATAGCACACTGTATGGCGCATTCCCGTCTTCATTCGTCGAGTCGGAGCAGAAAAGTAGGACATTAAACCCCATTTCATTTCATTTTTAAAAGGTCTGTGTGACTGCTACTCTTCTAGTTTAATATTGCCAGGAGTTTTAAGTAGCTAGTCTGAAACTAAGTCAAATTACCCTGATTGATTTTCAGTATAGATTGCAAAAATGACCTTTAGATCAATGAAATGATGCAATCCCTATCCTTATCCTTAACAAATATATTGAAACACAAAGAAAACACCCCAGCTTTAATGTGATGTTGGTCTGATAGTAGGTTGGACATTTACCAACACAAGACAAACAACAAATTTACTTTACAGTGAAACAAGGGGTAAAAATCACATATCAGTAAAGTTAATGTGTGTGTTCACTTCTAGAAGCAATGGGATTGTTTGCATGATTGTAGGCGGGACATTTCCCAACTCAAGAAAATCATCTACAACACAAAGGAGTCATAACTTTACAATGAAACCAGGGGTAAACATCAAATATCAGTAATGTTAACGCGTGTGTCCATCTCTAGAAGCAACTAATGTCATGCAATGTCTCAGAATGGAGGAAAGACTCGAAAGGTTGCTTGTGTGATCCTTTTCTGCTTTTTGGGAGGGTGAGGCTGAAGGGTCTAACATGTGCACCTACACATGACATGGAGGAGGAGGATTGCCTGTCCAACCTTGTGGCTGTTCTCTTGGTCCTCTGGTTTTCTGCCACTGCTAAAAAAAACCTATGCGCAAGCGAATGACTGAAATAAAACATAACCAAGTTAGTTCCAAAATGACCTATATTTGTAAATGGATAATAAACCCCATTTCTCTGTCTGTCTGCTCTCATTAAAATACTGATGCAATGCCCTGTTGAATTAATGTACTGGCACATTCTCAGTGATCTGGTGTCAATCTTATAGCACATGGTTGCATCTTCCACAGAACCGTCGGGAGTTGTATTGAACCTAGATTTATAAAAGTCACATTTCATAACACGTGTCTACATCATAAAATCATGTTTTTCAAAATATCCATTCTATTGAATTAATTTTTTTGTGTTTAAGAGAATTGAACTGTGATGAAAACATCATTCTAACATATTATCATCATTATCTGATATTACATTCAGAATTTCAAGATGTACAATCATCCATTTATAAATGTTTTTCAGGGTAACGATTAATATGTTTGTATTTCTAGCAAAACTTCTCCACAGAGACAAAAGCCAATGATGAAAATCTGTAGCATGAAATGAAGCATAATCCATGATCCTGTCAAAGAATATTTTCAAGAGTGATTTCATAACATTAAGCTACATTTAACAATCAAGTTAACTTTTCTAACTCTCTATTTCCTTATCTTAAGTTTGATCAGCTTAAAGTATATACTCGTTTCTAATGTTAAGTTTACTAACTCTCTAGTTTCTGATTTTAAGTTTGATCAGATGAAAGAACATAGTATATACTCATTTCTCCTGATATTAATTGTCTAGTTTTTAAAGATGAATTTGGTGCCACTTGCATCCAGAGATGGCAGAGGTGGCAGAGAAGGAACAGGTGGGCTTGGTGGCACGACAACTCCAGGCATCCAATTAACGGGGTGTATCAGATCAAAGATATTAAACTTATTTGTAGCTTCCACACAAATCATGACTAATTAGTTTCTCTCAGTCATGTGTAGTTATAGCTATTCCAGAAGTGGCATCACACAAAATAAACAACAACAATGGCGTCAGAAAAGACAAATTATAAATGTTTCACGTCTAAAACACATCTCCCCACATCAATATAATCAGATATGAAAATGCAGTCTAAACTGGATGTCATCAAGCATTTTGTATTTTGTTTTGTTGTCACTTATGACCACCAGAAATGTAAAGCGATTAACTTTGGCTTTATTTAACACTACAGACAGAATAAAATGGTTTTAACAGATTAAGAACTACATATCAGGAGGTGTTTTTTTTTTTTTATCATGACAACTTCCAGAAAAGATTCGCCAACAGTGTGAAAGATTTAGGCATTCAATTTATTTTTGTAGTCTGAGAGGGGGTATTATAATCTAACTTCAATTTGTTTCAAATGAGTAAAAAAGAAAACACTGAAAAACCTCTTCCCCATAACCAAATAACACTAAGTAAATGATTGCAAACAATACATTTTTCATATACCACTAATATGTAGGTCAACATATTACATATATACACCTATACATGTATGTACTGTACTTATTACTTATATTTCTTAAGAAGTATATACATGGAGTACTGTAGCTTACAAATCTACTATTCATTTAGTCATAGGTTCTCAAGTGGTTTTCACGACAAATAAATACAACACTTAATCTATATTATTTCAAAGCAAAAATAAAATAAATAAGCATAACATCCTTAAATAATTCTTCTATGTGCTTTGTCATTCTTTGAATGGCATTTAGGAATTGGAACATAATCAAATAAAACCATGTTTATGGATAACAATTACAGTAAACTTCACATAAGTTGGACCTAAGTGGACTGACCAATTTTATCCGAGTTAAATGAAGATCAGAGTTATCTGAAGACCGAAATTCAATCTTAGCACGATTAGAAATAACCTGCAAGAGACGGATAATAAATGATTCAAACGCACATTCAAGCTTTTGTTTGTATGTGCAGGTAGATAACTTCCATTTTGTCGTCATCTTTGAAAAAATGTCCTAAATTTTCCCGTACAGCAGACAGCGAGTTTGGAATTTTCC